ATATATATATATATAATATGTTATCGCTGAGGAAGAGCACAGGAGTGCTGAAATATTCGAAAATACAAACTAATTTTGTTGTTATAATTATTATATTATGCTAAAAATATATAAATACATTTTTGATCAATGATAACTAGAGGAAAGAGAAAAACCGTTTCAGTGAGTTACAGTACAACAAATATTAAACTTAACCAAATATGTTTTAAATGTGCCTAAATATAAAATTATTTATGTCTACTTGAAGCAACTGGGTTCTAGTTATTTACATTGTTTCGGAATAAAGTAGAATTGATCTAAACTTCTGACTCTACTTCGAGCATTGGTTATTAGTGCAAACGTCATTGATTAGACTTAGATTAGAGTTATACATGATATAGTCCTATACCTGAAAAGTCATGGCAACCACGTTAACAAATTAATTAATTCCTGGTGCCATCACAATTAATGTGTATGCTGTTAGGGAACCTAGTTATACAGCGGGGAGTCATGGTTCAGTCCACACTAACGAATTTATGTGACAAATGTGTGTGATTTGCACATATATGGGTATTATGATGTCATATTACACCCAAATATGGACATATCACATTGTTTGTCACATAGTTTGATATAGACTTGCCACAAGTCTCTAATTATAGGTTTCCTAGTATAAGTTAATTTTGGAGAGCGCCACCAGCGACGGTATATATCGAGAAACTTTTATGTTTTTATATTTTATAGGTAATATGGAACGCCATTGGTGTCAAAATAGATTTAAAGACAAAGATTAGGGACTGGAACCCAGTCTAAGTTTGATACTGTGGACAGAGCTTATTAATTTTGTCTCTGTAACTAATTCTTGTTTGACGTCTGTCAATTCCTCTCTAGACATCATGTCTGAATGAAGTAGTTATCACTAATGGCATATACAGTATAACCAAAAGTTGTCAAACTCTCAACGATTGCGTACTTGCATCCTACTCGAACTTCAACAGCTGTGACGAAGATGGTGAGACGTCTACATGTCGTTACTGTTGTCAAGGAAGTCAGTGTAATGAACTGGAAAAGGCGTATGGAGGTAATTCTTGTTCTGTACTTTAAGTAGGCCCTGTTGCGTAGTTCTTGACGCATCTCTGACGTAATTCATCGTCATCAGTGAGCATAAACCTGAAATTTTTTACTTCATAATTTAGTTGTCAACAGCTTGTGTGATTCATATCCCCACTTATACTTCGATTTGCATCTAGGTTCATTCTAACACTTTCACCTTTAACCGAAATACCATTTGTTCATTGATATGGAATAACGTGTGTTCATTCATTCTCTGAGTAACAACAATTGCCATCTTGTTAAATTAGTTCAGTAATGCATACTAATATTCTTTAAATAAATTATGTCTACACTAACCGCTTTGTGTAGTGTAGGCCTATAATAATAATTTTTAATACGTATGTTTACTTATATAAGTAACAATAATAAAGTTGTGTGCCAATCTGGCAAATCATGCTAATTCATCTAACTCATTTTCATATTCATTCGTTTGTGTCATTTCTTGCACATCATTAGTAGAGGAACCTACGACCACTCCACCTGCTATTGTCACTACACCGACATCTGTGTGTGAGCTTCCTGGTGACAACAGTACTGCTGTTAACTGTACATATCTTAATGTGTTCTGCAACCATACAACATATGATCTCATTGGATTGAATTGTACCGATGGTTTTGGTGATACTGATAACGCACATGGTGGCGGCGGTGGTGGTGGTGGTGGTGGTGGTGAAGGAACTGGTACTGGTAATGACGGAGGTGATAGTGAGGATGATGATGATGATGGTGGTGGTGATGATGATCAAGTTGATGTTCCTGAGGGTACACCACAACCTCCTCGTACTACAATGGATGTGATCACAACAGATAGTGCTACTACAATAGCACCAACGACAATAGCACCAACGACAATAGCACCGACGACAATAGCACCAACTACTGCAAGCGTAACGCATGCTCAGAACTCTACCACTGTTTTTCAAAATGGAACAGGCCCATTGAACACAACTTCAGAAACCAATGACGTAGCAACGTGTCCTGAGGAGACATTGACGGATCTCAAAGGTACTTTTCACTGGCCGGAGACTGAAGGCGATACCTCACACAATATCCCTTGTCCATACAACTCGGAAAGTTTTTCAACCCGTAAATGGTAAGATTTAATTATGTTATGAGAGTTTTGCAACTCTGCAAATATGATAAAAATACGAATTTTCGTTTCGGATTTGCACTTTCCATTAAATATACGAAATGGTGATGCGCACTGCACATAATTTCACCCAGATCGATTCCTCCTATTTTACCATTTTACTGCGACTCAATTTGACAAACAGGCCTATAAAGTTTTTACATGTTCAATCCATTTCAATCATTATTTTCACATTAATATTTATAATATTTAATCTGATTTTAGGCTACATATATTTAAAATTATATCCGTTTATCAACATATAACTGATCGATTATTTTTTGTAAAACTCAGATTTGAAAAAGGTACCAATTTCAAAATGTATGACATAATCGCTCTTTTATTGTTGCGATTAATATCAATTTTAGTCTTTAAATTCTAAATCTAGATTACTTAACTAATTGCGTATTTATATTGATAGTTTGATCATACCAGAGACTGGTACACTGGAATGGGGTGAAATGGTGACGACGAAGTGTGCGTACGAAAATGTAATGACACGTGAATTACAAGCACTTGCTTCCACAGAAGTCACCGCAGGTAAAGTATTCACATTGATATCCATATTTATATTAATGTTTTTGTCAAAACGTTTATAAATTAATTAATTAATTAATAGGTTTAAACCTATTATTAATTGTAATTGGAGTGGGCCAGTTGTAGTTGTGGTTGAGATAATAAGCATTGAATTAAATTGAACCAAGTTCAAATCATCTAAACGTCAGGACTTACGACATGTCACAACCCCATTCATGGCGTAGCTCTGTTTTCTACCTTAATAGATTTCCGGAGTTCCCATCAAACAACTGACCAACTAGAATACAGGTCTTGTGTAAGCACACATATTCCCTGGCATGTGAAAGAAATCATTTGTTTCTTTTTTCCAGAAAATGCGTTGCCACTTTCTACTATGTTGATGAACATGACAGCCTCTGCATCGAGCTTCACAGCAGCCGATGTCGAATTGGTTGTCAGTGTAATGGAGAACCTGGGCCAGAACATTGCCATTTACGAAGATGCCAGTAGACAGGTTATGGGAAATGTAATGGACACAGCAAGTCAGATGGCAGATGGAGTAGACGAGCAGGTGTTGCTCGACGGAGAAGAAGAAACTCAATCAAGTACAAGGTAACTTTAACGTTTTATAATATGATTAAAGCGAGTTATGTCTAATTTTCTCTCTAATATTGTTACAATCGTCAACACATTATGTATCGTTTGTAATTAGTGGATTAGCGTAGTAGTACTATGCCACTAGATTGAAGGAGTGTGCTACAGTATTTTAAAAAGTGAACGTAACATTATCAGGTACATAGCTACTGTAATCTTGAATTACATCTTCACCATTGTTAGTATTACACTGTTATAATATATGTGCTCATATTAATGTTTTATCTTTATTAAGTTTTATTAATATTTATTCAGCTTTTTAAAGTTATATTTATGCTTTAATGTGTAAGTTTTATGTTTGTTTTCGTTTGTTATATTTGTTGATTGTTTGCATATATGACGCTCCATTACGGATGTTGGAGCTATGAATAATACTTTACCATCTTCAAATATTAATACAGTCATTCTGTTTTTGCTAGTTTTGCAATATTTGCTTTTTAATATATTTATTCTATAGAATTTTACAAAACATTGATTTGTTTGCACGTGATGTCGATCTTAACGAAACAACATTTGGAGTCTCCACAATGACGTTTGATATTGCCGTTCTTGATCTCGTCAACACGACAATCACAGAAGACGTCGTTTTTGTTGGTGGAACAGGGTCACAGGTACGAATGTTACTACTGTTACTACTGCTAAGTGTCGGAACATTTCTATAATTTTCTTTCTCTCTTTCTAAGCGTATACTAAGCCTAGACTGCTGATCTGTTTGCAAAATATGGTGTAACTGTAAAATATATGTTGGTGCAAAGAAATTGTTGAAAAGTTCCTAGTCTCCCATTGAAGTTTGATAAGACAGAATCACAAGTGTTTAGTACGAAACAAAATCTCCATTGGAATATAATGTAGTACATTGAGAGTGTTTTAACAAAAAATTCTAGAAAACGGTGTAGGCCTATACCTTCTTGGTAAAGTAAATAAGGCAAATAAAAATCCCTGGTTCAAATCTCAATTAGAACAATACGTTTTTTTCTAAATAAATATTTATGAGATACAATTACAAATTATATTATTATTAAAACATAGGCCTAGTCTTCGTAATTACACAAAACTCTTCAATGTTTAAAGGTATAGTTGACCACTTGTGTCAGTTTATCTACAATTTAGTTCCTGCCTCTTCATAAATAATAATTCTGTCGATAATAATTATCATTTTATTCACATTCTCTTTAAGGCGGATCTTTTTGTTAATACCTCGAGTCAAAATTTGGCTACAGACGACCTTACTTCTATTACTATGCCTGGTTCACTCTTCGAGTTAGATATTGGGCCAATATGGCGATGCCAATTCGTTCTTTTCATGGATACGATTTACTTTGATGTAAGTGTTTCAAAATAGTGTATTTATACGTTACCTGATATTATTATTTACTTACAAATAAATACGTCTATTCGCTTAAAATAATTTAAAAAAGTATGTTAAATTGTGAAAGATTGGTGACTAGTAGGTCGCTGGCATTATTCTTTTTATCCCCTTACATTATGGCTATGTACACAACAAAAAACTCAGTTCATTGTTGGGAAAATAGTTTGGGATTGTCTTCCGCTGTAGTGACAAATTTTGAAATCGTAGTATGATATTCTCTTTAAAAAACTCCACAAATATTCATATTCTCAGATCATTGGCCAAGTTGTAAATAATACCGTGGACATTACGGACCAGACATATATTTCTAATAATAGTACCAATTCAACGGAATTGCAAAATTTTTCTAACGAAACCTCTTCAGAACCAATCAGAACCAACGTATTAAACAGTTTAGTCGTGTCGGCTACCTTAGGTAATATGGAAATAAATGACCTACTGGAACCAATCGCTATAACACTTGTGCATAAGCAAAGCGAGGTAAGTTTCACAGCTATTTTTAATTTAAATCGGGTTTTTTTCTGTGGTGGTTTTGCAGTATTTGGTTTTCATTGGTGCTGAGTGTTTATCCGATAGCGCATACAAAAAAATATGACTCCAGATTTGGAAGTCGAGTAATTAGGCCTTAACAGTTGCCTGTTAAGATGTACAAACCATTTCTTGTAGAAGTATATGTATTTAAATGTAATTTTAAAACTTAAGAGCATTGCAACGTTGCTGCAACGTTGCATTAACGTAATTTTCTTACATACCGGTACATAACCACAACGTTCGTCAACGTTATAATAACGTTTTGTGTATTTTCTGCAATTGCATTACATAAAGAAACTGTTGGCATCACTCATTATGTTGAAGGATCCATTATGGAACATTCCAGCACACTTAATAGATTAAACATCTTTTTCTTTAGATTAATGTTTGATTGTTTAATTTCAGAATGTTGGTAATCCACGTTGTGTCTTCTGGAATTTCACTGCTAATGGTAAGATTACGTTAAACAATTGGCATTGACACTGGAAGACAGGCATAGCTGAACCTAATAGAGGCCACGCTTTACTCTGAAGTTTGTTCTAACAAGAGTAATGTTGGCTGGAAGCATGGACCTATTAATAAGTTTAGTCTTCTTATTAACAGGTCCATGCTGGAAGATAAAGGCCTAAGACTTACATACCACTATCACATTCTTGTATGTCAGACTCAAGATAACATTTTCAATCATACTTTATGTAAGTGTCCTACTTTGAAAAAAATGGAAAGATAAGCAGTTTGACTGATCAGTAATTGGCACTTCACGCAAGAGGACGGGGAGCCGTCGACAACGGAAATTCGTGTTAAGCGCCCTATTGTTTTCTGTTGTCTTCACGCTCTGATGAGCACAAAACCACCATCCACCCGTCTTCCCGTCCTGTTGCGTAAAGTGCCTAATATCTTAACAAAAACTCAGTAATATCTTTAAAAAATTAATTTTGTTATATGATTTAATTTGATTATTTAATAAGCATAAACATCTTAATTTTTTTATTTTTAATACAGGAGGCATGGGTGGCTGGTCCTCTGAGGGGTGTTCCGTTGACTCATCCAACGATACGAGCACAGTATGCGTGTGTAATCATCTTACAAACTTCGCTCTGCTCATGGTAAATGCTGACATTTATAGTAAACATTATCAAATACACTTCACTAGCTAAACTTAGAAATGCCATCTTGACAAAAAGCAGAGCGCAATTAACATTGTTGGTGTGGTTGTTGTAAGGAATTAATAACACTGGTGGTTGTTGTTGAATTTGATGTGAGGGGTGTTCCGCTGACTCATCTAACGATACAAGCACACATAGTTACCAACCGTCTCGCATCGTGCGGGACGGTCCCGCACGATGATTTTGGATGAAACACGCATTTTGCAGAAACACATGCGTGATCCTAAATTTATCACGTATTTAACACAAGTCTATGCGTGATAACGAATTATCACGAATTCAGGGGAAAATGTATTTAAAATTAGAAGAAATTGATTTTATTAAAAATATAAAATGTTTGTGTAGGTATACATAGTTAGGGTGCTCAAATTAAACATAGGCCTACATTGAAACTCAAATTGTACGTGGCTTTATTAATAATATTTTTGCTTATGTACCCGTATCATTAACAAACACTCCCTGAAATCGTTTTAAAACAGCTTAAAAATGCTCAGATCGTCAGAGCGGCGGGGGCCGTGGCCCCTGCCGCTTGGACCCCCCCCCCAACCAACTGGTCACTCACGCATTTCAAATCTCTCAGGTTGGTAACTACGAGCACAGTTGCATGGGTAATCATCTAACAAAGTTTGCTCTGCTCATGTTAAATGTTGTTACTTACTTTGATTTAGCCAGAGCTGGACACGGTTTTTAGAAAAATCATTGTACTCTGCTAGGCCCATCGGATGGCATGATGAAAATGATGATACAAATAGATATTGACTTGATCTTGTGTGTTGTGGTGGTAGAATTAGCGTTATTCAGATCAGTGATGAAAACACGTCTACAATGACCCCAAATTTATAATGAAAATGAATAAATACACGGGTAAGCTTATAAAATTGCCATATCCTTGACAAAAATACGGAGTGCAATAACACTGATAGTGTAGTTATTAGAAGTATTTACATTGATGGTTGGTTGTTGAATTTGATTTGTTATTTATAAGGTATAAAGATAAATAGTTTTTATTATAATCATTTTATACCTTGATGCGCATTGAAAGTTTATATTCCTCATATCTGTATTTTTTTTTTCAGGACATATATGGTGATACGGCTGAACTGCCTTCTCAACACCAAGAAGCTTTGTCTTATATATCGTACATAGGCTGTGGACTCTCAATACTTGGCCTAAGCTTAACCCTTCTCACATACGCTTGCTGCAGGTAAAATGATATTTTGTATCTCCGTAATATAACCCTGCACTGGTAAATTACCATGAATTCTTCAAGTTAAAGAAAAGATAGAATTACCTCTTATCGTACCTTATTAGTTTTAGTGTTTTGCACCTTTGTGTTTTTATGCTTTTCAATTATTCCACTTCTTTCATATATTTGTTTTCAATTGTTTATATATCATTATAATTAATATTATAAATATTATTATTATCATCATCATCATCATCATCATCATTATTGTCATCATCATCACAATTATCATCGTCACCATCATCATCAATATTATTATCGTCATTATTATTGGTATTGTTATTGTCGTTATGGTTTTTCTTTATCTTTCTTTGCTTCATTTTATGTACATTTTTCTTAAGGTATTCGCTATTCTGTTCCCATCGTTCCAAGTCTTACGATGTTTTTGAAATGCAACAGTCAGTAGTTTTCAACAAAAGCAATTTAATTATTGGTAAAATAGAAAATGGTGGCGCTGATTTAAGGTACATGAATAGGCATATAAAAACAAATGCAGTGCTGCAAAAGCAAGGTGCGCATGTGCAAATCATTGTGAAGATAAGCTTATTCGAAGATTCAATTGGGGGTAATTGCTATCAAAACTCTGGGGAAAAAAACACTTTCAAGCCCTGTTTAGACTATCAAACTTTATTTGACATTACATGTGACAATCCTAAATATGGTCATGATGACATCACATCATATAGCCACATCATGACTATATATGGGTATACAACAGTTTTTTTGTCAAAGAAAATTTGATAATGTGGACAGAGCCGTAGAATTGACAATCAAATTGACAATTTATTTTGCATTCATTTATTCATTGGAATACACTACCTTGAGAAGATACATAATTGTTTTTTGTTTAATTTTTTTAAATATTTATTTGTTTTTCAAGTTATTTTAATCATCTTTGCATAACATGGTTCTCATTTAATAACGAACGCTCAACACATTTTTATAATTCTCTTACTTATTAGCTTGATAATCTATCATACATGTGCCTACTTTATACTCCTTGTGTGCTTACTTGCTTATATTACGATTATATTAATATAATATAATAGGTAACTATTAGGAATGGTTTCTTCACATGGGTTTTTGTAGAGCTTTAAATCTATCATTTGCATGTCAGTTTACAGTTATATTTTGCAACAGTACTGCAAAATCAATCTGGGTTTAAAGTAATTGCTTGCAAATCGGTGTGAGATTCATAAAAGTGGTTCAATTCGTACTGTATACAGTATGCTTTGATTGGTGTTATGAAATTGATGTTTATTATTAGGTGGTGTTGTATGTCCTCTGATTACCAATAAAGAGAGCACAGTACATAAATATATTGCACTGTAGGCCTATACAAGTTTTATTATTGTTAGTTTAGCAAATTGCTCATTAGCATAAAACAAATAATTAGTCTCGTAATGTAAATACGCTAAAGAATTTCTCAAAACTTACACGGTGGGATCCATAAAGTCTCTCTAAAACATGGTTATTTGAAATTTTTTTTTCAACTGTATATTTTTATCAATTCAAGGAAATATTAAAAATACAACATATTTACAATATTTAACTCACCTACTGGGCTTCGCCATTCACTGTCTGGTGTAGCCCTCCTCAAGTGCCTTCCATTTGTTCTGTTCTGTTCCTTCCTTGTCCAGGTTACACCAATGTAAGCTCATCTCGCCATCTTCTATTTTGTCTACCTTATCTTTTCCCGATCTTGGTTGCCATTCATTTAGTCTCTTTGTCCATGTGTTGTCATTTCTGCGAGCAACATGACCTGTCCATCTCCAATTTTTATTCTTTCAATGATGTCTTTGACATGTTTATTAAATAATATTAGGCCTCTTTTAATTGTATATGTACAATTGTTTGTTTTCTGGGAGTTATTAATGTGTTATCACGTGAAATTCATGTATACTGCATGGGTGGTATGAAACATAGTTAGCAATACCGGAATCAAAAGGTGTAGCAACCAAGTATCTTCTGTTTCTATATGCTATTTTTTCAAATAATTATTCATTTTGTTATTGTATTTTTTGTGAATTTACTTAATATTTATTTAAATATTCAAAACCTTTTATTTACAAGCCTACATTACCCAAAAGGAGATCCGCGAAGGTGAGGACGTTTTTTTGATATCATTTAAATCTTCACCTGTGTGCCCGATACTGAAACTTCTTAAAAATCACCTAATGTCTATTCATACTGTCAGGTTTATGTGATAAATATTGTTCCTATATGGATGTGATATGACATCATCATCATCCATATATTGGCAAATAGTGTGGACAGATCTTAAGTCTTAGTTCAGTAGTTCATAGTTCACAGTTCACCATTTTGTCCTTCTGGAAATTCGAGTTGACGTACAATTGCTCTAATGCTACTAAGAAAAGCAAAACATGTACGAAATATATAAAATGATCTTAATCTACAGTAGGCCTATAAGGAATTTAGTTGGAACAACAAATTTGAGAAACGTTTTGTCCTACAACGAGCATCCCTAAGTCGTCTACCAGATTTTAACCATTGATAATTACTATGAAGTGGATGATCTTTGTCTTGCATTATGGCTATACTAATACATGGATTATTACATACATACGTTATGAATTAAAATATTCTGCTTTACTAAATTAATGCTAAATTTGTATTGATCGTTAAATTCGTCATTATTGTTTGTAGTTTCTTTGTCTTGATGAATACCTTGCTTGCTTTTCAACTACATGCGATGTTTGCTATTTCTTATGATGTAACTATAACGTAACGGTAAACATTTACTGTAACACTGAAAGGTATTTGTGGTAATGATAAACGGTAAACCAGGTAACATCAGCTCAAATGTGATTTTCTTCCAGGAGAACCAAGGCAGATAAAAGAGTGAAGATTCTCTTGAACCTTGTATTGGCACTATTGATGGCAAACATCTTTTTCATGATGGCCTCGCTGACAGTTGAATTTGAAGAACTGGAAGACGTCTGCCGGATCATGGCAATATTCCTGCATTACTTCCTCCTGGCAACGATGACGTGGATGGCATTGGAGGCTTTTAATATGTACCTGTCACTTGTAAAAGTGTTTGAGCAATACTACTCGCACTTCATTCTAAAGCAAATGATCTTTGGCTGGGGTAAGGCTCTGTCACATTTTCTTTCACACAAAAAACCGCTGTATGCCCAATATTGTCATGATGTGCCTATATATGGTCATGATGTGATGTCATCATGACCATATTTAGGCATATTACATGTTTCTGTGAAGAATTTGATAGTCTGGACACAGCTTAAGAACTATAATTAAAACTTAATACGATAAGAATGAAGTAGTAACTTGGTTGTAAGGTTTTCACCTTCGAATCCTACCGCATTGAAGTTAGTTCCTGCAAACGACTCCAGAAATACCATCCAGGGTGGACTTAATTTATAGGGAATTATTGTCATCTGGATATAGGCCTAAACTCCGTTGTTATCGGTTCTTGTTAAATACACACATATGGGTGGATTCATTTAATAAGGGGAACACATTGCCAGTGAAAATTTTGTCAGTGAAGATTCTTTAAACCTGCTGGTAAATTCGTACATATTACAAGTGCTGAACTCAATTTATGAGTTTTTTGACAATTCGGTTTCATTATAACCTGTATTCTTTCGTTGTTCTTTCTCTTTAACTGATTGATTAATTGATGGCGATATTGACCGACTTCTTAAATGCGAGACATATATGTTGATTATCTCTTGTTGAAATTACTGAAGTTTTTTTCCATACTACGTAAAATATATAACTGGTACTAATATGCACATTTGTTTTATTTGCAGGTGTTCCATTGATATTTGTCATCGTAACGTTGTCAATCGACATGGATCATTATGGATTCCACAGTGGAGCGTAAGATATTATTATGATAATAACACTTAATATATTTTCGTTATACAATTAGGCTACAATTATGTAAGCGCATAGAAGTCCCTACAATATGCGCTGTATAAGTCGACAATTATTATTATTCTTATTACCATATTATTTGGTTGTTTTGCCTATTCTATTTTTATCTATTTTTGCCTATTGTTTTTATCTCGAATTATTACAGTTAGGGTACATATAAACTTGCATAATACTTTTTTTCATATGTAAGGCATAATCCAATCGGCTGATGCATTGTGAGACAGGCCTAATAAATGTTTTTGAAGTAGCAGCTGAAATTTTACGCCACAGTATATGACGTGACACGCGCAATTATGAAAATAACCGTATGCGTGCCATGAAAACATGAATACATTAAGTTATGGGTTACGATTTAGAAAATTCGATATACAATTTGTCATATAAAATGTGATAGTGTTTATAGAGTTTTAGGCACTCTGTTGAGTGTCAATTGATCAACTACGTAATTAGGATATAAATAACACCCAATGTGATAAAGAAACTATTGCGATCGTAAACAATTTTATCTTGTTTGTATTATTTCAGTTGTTGGTTAGATCGGTCAGCGTTCTACTTTGCTTTCATGATACCTGCAGTTATAATACTTATCTTCAACTTCGTTGTCTTCACGTTGGTTATGAAACAACTTTGTAATCTTCGCCACTCTAAGATCACCAAAACTGAACGCTTCAATGCGTGGTCGCACCTCCGCGGGTCCATAAGTCTGATGGTGTTACTAGGCCTAACTTGGGCTGTGGCAATATTTGCCGTTAGTGAAGCTAGCCTCGTTTTTAGCTACCTTTTCGCTATATTAAATTCCTTTCAGGGTCTAAGTATATTCATATTCCATTGCCTTGCAAAGAAGGATATTCGCCATAACTGGCGCAAACTCTGCTGCCCATGCTGTGCCGGACCAGATGAGGATTTTTCGTCAGGTGAGATCTCCAAAACAAAATTTAAACAAATGAATCCAATCGATTGGTAGAGCAAGGTTATAAATTTTCCAAACAAAAGATTGAAAAGGGACAAATAATTTATTCTAACGAGTATAAACTCTTGAGAAAGTTTATACAAAATATATTTTTAAGATTATTCTTGTTGACTCATTCCGTTTGTTCCTATTTATTTATTTATTTTAATTAATTAATTAATTAATTTAATTCAATAACTATTTGAATTGATTTTAGGTGATTTTAAACAAATATCAAATTTGTTTGTAATTTGTATATAGGTGGCTCCTCAAGCAAGTATCGCACAGGCACCAAACGTCAACGAATGACGTGGTCTACAGACGCGCGAAATCATTCGTCGAAGAAAGGTGGATCGTCTGCTAAAGCAAACTTATCGGCAAATTCAAATAACACCAATTGTGAGTTAGAATGATGAACATGATATCATACGGTCTTCTGGTTCTGGTTGGGGTGACTTCTACCGCTAGCTTTTGAAAATGCCTGCAAAACATTTGGCTAAGTTTGGGTGCTTTTGCTTGTTTGATGTTTCATTGTTTTGTGTGTCTATTATTGCTTATGCTAATTTTGTTACAAATTAGATTATTTAAAAGCATTTTAGTTCATAGCGCAGGCAGTAAACGTGTTGTATACTTCTTTGGTAGTACCAAAGCTACGCATGTAAATTGTTTGAATGTGGAATGGTGCTCACTACGTAGGCTACGTCTAATACACTAAAATATATTCCTGTTGTTCGTGAAGTAAAAACGCCAATTGTTCTTTATTTACTGATTTCTTGTTCTGTATTTGTTATCTCGATAAGTTAGCCTATTAGGTGTTTAGAAACAATCTACATTTAAAACGAAAAATATTGCGGTGTTTTTTATTCTTTCTAACACTTAAAATTATTTTTAACAAAGTAGTATATGTATTTACTTAGTGTTTCATAATATAAGAAATAGCAAGATCGTTTTACTCCGTGCAGATGAATCACGGATATATCCGGGAACCAGTAAGGATTAAAGTAGTTCGCTATCAAGAGCTGACGTCATAGTTGCATAATAAAACTTTTCTATGTATGTAAATTTGTGGAAGTTTGTGTAAACAGTAAATAAAGTAAATATTGCTACGCGCTTATGGTAGATATCAGTGATATGCAGTAGTTTAGAACAGAAAATATAAAAATAACAGTATTATAATGTTGGTGGCGCTCTTGTTTCTCCGCTTTTCTTTTTGCGTTTCTACTGGTTGGCTGTTATGCTATGGTAATGGTACTTATGGTATGGTGGAAACGGTTGAAACTAAGTTCCTTCATTCTTAACAAATTGCGCATCGTGCAAATGATAAACGTGGTGATTGACCAAAACGTGTGTAATTGATCAAAATGTCAATTTACAGCACAAACAGCACTTTATATAGAAAACAAAATTATACCGAAGATTATCTCCTAAAGATGTTATGAAGGAACTTTAGTCTAGAATTTTAGGCCTAGTCTAGATAATATTGTTATATTTCATTTATAATATTGGTAAATTACCTTATGAAAAACACCGATTTGACGTAGGCCTATTAACGACGGTAGCGTGTCTAGGGGGTTCGTGGGAGAAAGAAAAGAGCTCGCTCCCCCTTCATCACCCCCTCCCACTGGAAATGTTTGAAGCAGAAAAACGTTTAAGAGTTAGAAATCCCATATCAACTTATCACCAGCCGCCTTCCCCCACTTCACCTTCGTTCCCCCATCATACCCACCCCTCCACACCATTTCCAGATTCCTAGACGCCACTGATTACAGAAATAGGCCTATACAACGGCACCGCCAAACAGATGGAAACACAGTCATCTGATTATTCTTTACAATTAAAAAACAAATTTTCGCAAGAAGAAAATATATTGAATCTAATTATTCAATTTAAGCGATTTAAGTCTAGGCCTACATCGTAATTGGCAATAATTTATTATTTCATATACTTTTTTGGGAGGATATTTTATTCAAATGATAATTTTATAGCAATTTAATTTTTAAAACGTGAATACTCTTTATTACCAGCTCATACTGTTTCTGAAAACTCAAGGAATAGCTACGGAACCAATGGAACAGTCTTCAACAGGCCTCCTTCGCATTCAACAGTAATAGGGTATAGACAAACTTACAATACCTAAATACACATATAATAACTAAATTGTGTAGTTTAAGCCTAAAATACATTAAATATAATAATATCTTTACTGTGAAGGGGAATACTGTACATATTTCTAATGAATTAACCGCATAGATAACAAAGAATTTGTTGCAGATAGATTTTTTTTTGCTTCTTTATTCTGAATTCGGTTTATTCCTCATTGTATTTAACTATATTGAGACTATGACGTCACTATGACGTCATTATTCATGTATCACGGTCTATCACAAAAGGTCATAACAGAGGCGATTTATCAATGTCTTATGCTATATGAAAACGGGGCTGGTTCCCAATATATATTTATATACTATTTATTAGTATTATTTTTAATATTTACAACAGCTTTTGTAAGTAACAAATCATTCCATAGGCCTGCCTATATTTTAGATAAAAATGACAAAATTATAGTTTTATTATTATCTAGATTTTGTTTTATTGTGTTTTAGTAGTAAGAAATTGAAATATAATATTATTTTATTTTTAATGATTATGTTTTTATTATGAAACGCTTGTATGATTCACATCTTTTAATTTTAATGTTCATTGATTTTTTTTTTCTCTAACAATTAATAATGCTATACGGTACCGGTATATAATGTAAAGCTTATAAAGAAAGTTTCATTCATACGTCGGTACAGGATAGTAGTGTTTGTTAGAGGAACCAAAGTTAAAAGTGTATTTTGTGTGATTTATAAATTGTAGTTTCAATGTATACTGTCTAGCTATATTGAACTAACGAACTAATTATCGTGATTTTAGTAGTAAAAATATTTAACAAATTATAGTAGGCCTATTAATTTTTAATTATTTTGTTTTTATTATGAAATTCTTGCTGGATTTACCTGTAGGCTGAGCCCGTTTTCTATTTATAGTGTTCGTTGTTTTTTCTAGCATTATAATGCTGTTCTGCAAAGCTTATAAGCAAGTTTCACTTATATGCTGGTAAACAGCATGTATTTGTTAGAGAAAACAAGTGGATAAAAGTGTATTTTGTGTGATCAAGGAGGTATAAAATAATTATAAAAAATAAATATAAAATTATTTTATACCTCCATAGTGTGATTTATAAATTGTAGTTTAAATGTATAGTGCGTATGTTGAGCTAAGGAAATTGTGTCTAAATAAATGTACATAGGCCTACTTCGCATAATGACTTGTAGTAATTAGCAATGTCGTCGCCAGTTAATTAACGCATTCATTTTATGCCTACCGATTATCATGTATTTTGGCAGACACCGGTCCTTGCAGTGAGTGCTCGTCTTTAATGACCACATTTGTGACCGAATTTTTTAATGTCTTTAGCAGCTTTGGTCTCTTTCAGAATAATAAAGATAAACGACATTTGTTAATTAATATGGGACCACAAAAATGTGGTATTTAATAGGAGGTGGTCTTTAATTGGAGGGGTCTATAATTACAGGGATATCTGTACAGAATTGTCTAAGAATAAGGATTTTTAAAATAAAAAAATCTTTGTAAATATTTAACGTATTTATTTCGATCTGTTTATCTTTTAAAGTTAATATCTTATTTGATTCTTTGTCATTCATGGTATACTGGGTATCACTATTTACGTAACATCTAATATTGCGAGAAGGGAAACAGGTAATAATGAGTTTTAAAATAAAATTATGAATTATGAAGTATACATTTAAACAAGTGAGGCTATGTTTTAACAAGTTGTAAATTTTAATAAATAAAAACGTTTGTATATCTGTCGCATTGTGGCATTTCATTTTTTGAATGTATCACAAGTTCAACACAATTCAATTAACAGCTTACGATGCACTGGCTATAAAGCATTGCTGAAAACAAAGACAATAAGATAACACATTTTCAAATAAAATGAAGAGAGCCGTACAATATTATCTGTATTTTTTTTATTTCATCATATCTTATCATAATATATTATATTGTATCATATTATTTATTTCAACCAGTTAAAACTTACAAATATGAATATAAATTTACAAAAATGCATAACGACTCAGCACTACCTAGGATTGCTAAAAAGGCAATGCCTATCATCTGTCTGGGGGCTCTCCAGTGTACCAACCGAAGGTGCAATAATAATAGAAATATTAAAGTTATTTGCAAAGCACTCATAAAACTATATAGATATTATTATTATTATTATTATTATTATTATTATTATTATTATTATTATTATTATTATTATATAATTATAATTGCCAGATCATCTTTTGTAGGCCTATATTCAAAACTCAACAGCAAGAGTACCGCTAGTTGTCAATAACAGAATCTAAATAATCTATAAATAGGCCTATTTATTGTACAGAAAATAATGTTAGAATGGTATTAAAAAATCACTTATTAATAAAAACACTCGTGAAATAAGTCACTAGGCCCTTTTAAAGCAAAACATTCATGATGGACAAATTGTTTGTTTTAAAACACTATACAATAATTTTTGACAAAATGTTAATACATTTTATTTCTCTCAAAACTATAAAGAGTCTGGTAGGCAAATAGGAAATAATGTGCCTGTACAAGATGCCTACCAGAGACAAGTTAACAAATCTAATAGGCCCTACTGTAGTCCTAAAAGTTAAATAATTTTGAACACACTAGGGCCTTGTTGTGCATGAGTATCAGAAATTGAATTAAGACTAACATAAGACAGTCCTAAATATTTCAAACGAGTGTCTGAAATACATTCACAATGGGTTTTTGCCAATTATGCAGCTGCATAAATACCGGGCCATTTTTTTTTTTTTTTTGGTCTTTGTCTTGTAAAGTTTTATTCAATTAATTTGTACTTTTTATGGTCGAATAAAGAAATAAAATGAAATATAGTTTTATTGGCTCTCGATCGAGAAGCCAGACGATCTCCTCTTTCCGCCTTACGACGTCGTCATGATCTGACAGCGCCTGTAAATGAAATAGCGCCACCAAGCGAAATTGTAAAGAAACAGCGCTAATGTTTGATATCGAAATAGTGCAGCAGTCACACCGAAGAGATTTTCATGTACTTGTGACGCATGTTGTAAAACCCATGTTAAAATCCCGAAAGCATAAACATTATCCGGTGAAGAAAATGAGAGAATAATGTCGGTAAGTTCCGTTTTAGCGTAGATTATTCTAGAGCTAGATATTGAACTTAAAACAGAACCACCACCGTCGTTAGTTAGACCCTCGGCTAGGTGAGCTTACCGTGCAGTCTGTGCGCGGTGGGTTCTTTTCAAGAATGGATGTTGTGATGCGAAACTTATCGTTTGTAATAGTGAGCACCGGTAGATAACAATAACATTAGGCCCAAGGCCCATCCCTTTAAATGACAAATGTTGTTAAAAGTTAGTTTTATTACATCCGCTTTAAATTTTATTAGTCGAGGCAACGCTATAATAATGTTTGATATAAAAAGCACTGAAGCACAATTTGACATCGACAACAATTTCTTCAGGCACAGATGAACAGGTAAGCCTAAATAAACAAATGTATACCAGGCCTACTTACTGCCTACTGAATAGTGTCAGATCCAGCAATTGCTGATGCTTGTTTTTTTTCTCCATTAAAAAAAAAATAAATAAAAAAATTTGGAACCAGGCCGACTGGGCCCCTTGAATCCGTTTATGCTAAAAAGAAATAGATGGCCTCAACAATCAAAGACTAGTGGTTTTTTCCACGTCGGCCATCATTCAGTGCAGCAAATTCAGAAAGGTTAATCGCACAATCCAAAACAGTCTGTTTCTAACTTGAATTGTAAACCTGTAAAAAAATTACAAAACACTTTTTTTTTATGACTTTATTGCATGTAAATGATTATTGTTAGGAATATTATTATTGATTGTTATGATTATTAATAATAATATACTGTAGCACATATCCATCTAGCCTATGCTCAGGCCGCTTGATATGTGGACTAGGAACTCGATAATGACTTTCTTCACCCCTAAGGGTCCCTTCGTGTCTCTGCTACCCAGTAACCTGGTACCAGCAACTCTCGTCGTCCACCACAGGGGCTGTCTGTTCCAGTACACTGGGGCATCCCCCTACTCGTCTCGAAAGATGTACTGGGTTCTTTATAGTGCACACGAGCCACTGTATACACTGGGGCTACGGTTTATAGTCCTTATCTTGTTCTACCACCATTTTCCAGTTAAGTTTTCTATTTTTTTTTATTCATACAGAATGTAGATATAACCTTTGCGAACATTTTAAAGAAAAAAATATGTTAACACGACCCTCCGTTAAGGATATGATTTTTTAAGTAACATGACCTCCGAAAATATGGCCGAAATGCTATGTTATTTCTGTTGATTACGCTTCACTGCTCAGCATTGTTTGTCATCGATTGAAGATATCTACCGCAGCCAGCGTGAAAAAGGCCTATTATTATGAATGAGTATACCTGATTTATTATTGTGATTGTTATGATTATGATTATTATTATACCATTACAATCATTATTTACAAGGATTATTATGGTTATTATGATCATGATTATTATAGTATTACTGTATTATGATAACTTAGTTTGATTGATAATGATGATTATGATTATTATTAGGATTATGATGAGCACTCTGATTTTTATTTTAATGATTGATTACTGTATTATAATTTTGTTATGACTTTTTATATTATAATTTTTATGTTTATGATATCTATTATGGTTATTTATGTTTTATGATAATTATTTTGATTATTTTGATCATCTTTATTGACAATACATTTTTTTAAAATGGGAAAGCAAGAGTAGGGGATTGTCTCCCATTGTACTGCCCAATCACCACCAGAAGGACCCCACTGGAAATTTAATAAGTCTTCTTCTAGACTTTCGTGGGCTGTCCTTATCCTTCGAATAAATCCAATCCAATCCAACAGTTTGCCCTCCAATTCGAGACCACTTTTGGAACGTGAAAATTTGAGGTGGTCTCGGGTATGGTCTCCAATTAGAGGGCTAGCTTTGTGTACAAGGTTGAAGATTGCTATTTGGGTCTTTAGAAAAGTGGTCTCGAATTTAGAGGGTGCGGAATTAGAAGGGTCTTGAATTAGAGGATTCACTGTAAAAAGAAACACTTGTAAAACCACAATAAGCATCATCTCTTGAGATGGAAATCAATATGTCTGACATACTCAGGAAAACTATGATGAGATAAGATGCAGATATATGAAATGCTCGGTTGTCACCATGAGTTAGTGGAGATGCTGATGAAGACCTCGGACATCAAACTAAATTATGTGGTGAGGCTAGGTTTTGTTATTGAAATGGGTGGTTGCTACAATTTTCAAAGTTTTGAATACGAAGAATAATATTTGGAGTACAGCAGATTCCTTGTTTAGTTGGCAGATAGTAGTTATTGAAGGATAGGAGTGATGTGATAGCTCCCGTACATCGAAATGTTTAGGCTGTATTATTGTTTTACTGTAAGACGACGACCATTACCGTTGATAAACTAGATTTAAGTGATTTTGATATTTAATATTTAGATAGGCCCATACTACTCTATTCAGAGAATCAAGTGTGTGTACTGACATGATTTACAGTAGTTAGTGATTTTAGTCAAAACATTACTGTAGTTTCAACAAAATTTAATCCGGAAACATGGTTGGATGTGTGTACTCTCTTTCTTATCTTAGCAGCACCTTGACGTATTGTAGTTTTTTTTTTAGGCTTGAAAAATTGAAAGATTAGACAAGACAAACTTAGTTTGATGAACATTGCATTTTTAGAATAAGGTGACAACTGTATAGTGATATTAGATGATTTGTATTTCCGGGCTTGGGTAGAAATAACAAGGAAGTATATAGTAAGTAGCATTTTAATGAACATTTAGATCTACGGCAAACACTCATTCATTTGATAATTTTCGTGAGTATTGAAACGATAGGTCCCTATTATATTTCCATACTTCTTCGCAAGTCGCTTAACTTGTATACCTACCCTTTACTTGTATATTATGCTTAGATTTATAGCTCAATATTTTCTGTTAGCAGTAAGGGCAGATATTGTGTTATGTTTATAAAGCTGTAAATAAAATATTTTGTCATATGGTACCTAATTTTTTTTGCACCATAAATATAAACATTTTATTATTCTAGTATGCTAATAATAATTTAATTTAAAATATTAACAAATAATTATTAATTTCTTTTTTTTTTTTTTGGTCAGATAGTTCTGCAGATGATTCTCAGTGACTTCAGTGTTTCCTAAAAGGCTGAAAAATGTCCACAAGTAAACCCACCGAGAAATTAAAGACTCGCGGGCTCAAAGGTCTTTTTGTCCGTACCGGTGAACGCCTTAGCAAACCCCGACAAAGAACCCAGTCTGAATCTGAGTGGGTGTGGGTTTGAGAAGGGAGTTCCCCCTTCCGTATGTAAGAAAAAAATAGAAAATAATTACCTTTAGAGTGCATTTAAAAGTGTGTTTAAATGTAGGCATTTTTTTTTAGTTTTTAGTGTTGAATTAGCTATCACAAAGATAAGTTGTACTGCGCATGGCTACGGTTGTTTACTCACATTATTTTTTCTAGGCTATGAGTGCAAATTCTACTCTCTGTCCTCCGAATCGAGGGATGTTTTAAAGCTTACTGTATTTTGTTGACTATTAAAATTTAACTTGTGGTGTTAATAACAAATCTTTACAGTATTTTTGAATTACTTACAGTATAACCGGTTACGAATAAAAACAATATCTCGGCTCGGGGAACTGAATCTCAAGTTTTGCAGAGCCACATACATGCGTTG